AGGGAGATTCCTTACCCTCCATCAATGCTGACCTTGTGAAGGAACACCTTGAGAGGCTGGATACCTTCAAGTCAGCCGGCCTTGACAGCTTACACCCCAGGGTACTAAAGGAGCTGGCGAGGATCATAGCCCAGCCCCTGGCACAGATCTCTGGGAACTCCTGGTGCTCCGGTGAAGTGCCCAAAGATTGGAAGAAGGCCAATGTGGTGCCTATCTTCAAGAAGGGGAGGAAAGTGGATCCACCAAACTACAGGCCCATCAGCCTGACCTCTATCCTACGGAAGATTCTAGAAAAGATTATCAAAGAGACCATCCTCATCAGACTGGCCGATGGCAACATCCTAGCCAGCATGGGATTGTCACAGGTAGGTCCTGCTTGACCAATCTTATTTCCTTTTACGACCAGGTGACCTATCACCTGGACAAGGGGGAAGAGATTGATATCATATATCTTGACTTTAAAAAATTTTTCGATCTGGTATCCTATGGTCACCTCTTGGCAAAACTAGCCAACTGTGGCCTCGGCTTCTCCACAATCTGCTAGCTGGGGAACTGGCTACGTGGTTGGACCCAGAGAGTGGTGGCTGATGGAAGTCAATTGTCGTGGTTCGCTGTGACCAGTGGGGTCCCTCAAGGCTCTGTCTTTGGGCCTATATTGTTCAACATCTTCATTAATGATGTGGACACTGGCGTCAGAAGCAGACTGGCCAAGGTCGCGGATGACACCAAACTTTGGGGTAAAGTGTCCACACCTGAGGACAGGAGGGCAATCCAGGTTGACCTCAACAGGTTCAAGAAATGGGCAGATGAGAACCTGATGGCATTTAACACCAAAAAATGCAAGTTTCTCCGCCTTGGGAGGAAAAATCCTCAGCATGCTTACAGGCTCGGCAGTGCTGCACTGGCTAGCACTTTGGATGAAAGGGACTTAGGGGTCATAATTGACCACAAGATGACCATGAGCCTTCAAAGTGATGCTGCAGCTAGTAAAGCAAGCAAAATGCTGGCTTGCATCCATAGATGCTTCTCAAGCAAAGCCCAGGACATCATTCTCATATTTTACTTGGCCTTGGTGAGGCTGCAACTGGAGTACTGCGTCCAATGTTGGGCTCCATAATTCAAAAAGGACATGGAGAAGCTCGAGAGAGTCCAGAGGAGAGCCATGCGCATGATCAGAGATCAGGAAAACAGACCTTACAATGAGAGGCTGAGAGCTATGGGACTCCAGCCTGGAGAAGCATAGGCTTAGGAGTGATCTGATGGCCACCTGTAAGTTTATCAGGGGTGCTCATCAGGATCTGGGGGCATGTCTGTTCACCAGAGTGCCCCAAGGGATGACAAGATCAAACGGTCACAGACTCCTCCGTGACCATTTCAGGCTGGACATAAGGAAGAACTTTACTGTCCAAGCCCCCAAGGTCTGGAATAGACTGCCGCTGGAGATGGTTCAAGCACCTACATTGAATGCCTTCAAGAGACATTTGGATGTTTATCTTGCTGGGATCCTATGACCCCTGCTGACTTCCTGCCCTTTGGGCAGGGGGCTGGACTCAATGATCTCTCAAGGTTTCTTCCAGCCCTAATGTCTATGAAACATGCTTAAAATTAATCTGACGTTCAAGTAACTTCCTGAACTTAGGCTGTGGAAATCTCTCTGAAGACAGAAGATGGCAGAGGGAGTCTTTGACCTAATACACTAGAATCTCTCTGATAAATATTAATGTGATCAAAATAATACTGGTCATTCCAGATTCCTCAAGTGTGAAATTTGGTTAGGTATATCCACGTATCTTATGATTAGAGCTAACACCCTTCACATTGACAAAAATCTACAGAAATATTACAACTTGACTATGGTCAAAAGATATTTCTTGTGTCCAGCCACAGACAGTGCAAGAGAAAAATCAGACTGAATTATTTGGGGCAGTATGCAGTCTGATCATTCCCAGACCCCTCGCTGATTCAAGTAAAATCCCAATCCCCCGCCCTGGGCTGGGCTGGGGTATGCTGTCAGCTCCAGAGAGCAGGGCTGGTCCCACACCTCTGCTCCCTAGCTGGAGCAATGAGGGCTGGCTGACAAGGGGTACGGCAGGGCAAGCTCAACTGGGGATGCAGTCCAGTTTGTGGGGGCGGGGGGCAGCAAGGACTTTTGCCTCACAATCACTGCTCTGGAGGAGTGTTTTGAAAATACTGGCAGATGAATGCATTGTAACTTCCTTAATTTCAACAGAAGAACAGAAGCCTAGCTGGATGCATGCAGACACCCATTTTCTTCATGCTTTTTCTTCATTAAGCTAGGAAGTCAGGTAACCCATCTGTGTTCTGGCATCCCAATAAAAACACGTAATTAGTGCCACATTCATCTCTCAGTTTTGCCATATATACCTGTGTTCATAAACAGGAGGCTAAATTAAAGTAATCATTTTAAAGTTTTCATTTGGGCTTTGTGATGGATTGCATCTTTTTCATAATACAGTGGCATAATTATTAAGTGGCAAAAACAACATTACACCTGCTCTGCATTCTTTATAGTGGTTGCTTAAAACATGGGTGTTAGCAAATATTACAGAAAGCAAAGGAGCTCATTGTCTTCTGAAAAAGTAGCATTTCAATGTGGACCAGCTGCCTGTAAAGCTCAGCCCAGGAGTTAAGGAGTGGCACAACAGTGTGATTTGAATTTTGGCTGCTAGAACCTCTCATAGAGTTTAACTTCAAAGCAAAGATACAGCTGCTTCTCCCTGCTCTCCAAGGGCATTCAGTAGTTCAGGAATTTAGCAGTTCAGAGGTGGTGGGGCAGCCTTCAAATTTTCTTTTACTTCAATAACTCGGGAGAACCCAATTTAGCTTTTTAAATTAAAATCAAACTAAAGCAGCTGTGTCAGGGGACGGTGGCAGAGACTCTAGGGCACAGAAAAATCCAGCAACTTACAACTGTTCTTCATGTGCTTATTTAGTGATTAAAAATCAACAGGAGTTAAAAGCAGGGCTCAAAATGTTCCTAAGGTAAAAAAGGCATCTGGGAATACAGTCAACAGCAATAGTTTCAAGAAAACAGGTTTAAGCAGAGGAAGAGAAGTAACTTCAATACGATGTATTTTTTAGACAAAAGAAAAATTCTAATTTTCTCCCTCACAACCTTATGTCTTTTTTCATACTGTTCTCTACACTTGGAAAGTCTATTAACTTTCGTATCTCTCATAAAATGTATTGCTTCCCAGCTACCCTTCTCCTATAATACTTCTTCTAAAATCTCCTGCTTGTGGCCTCAATACTACATTTAAATAGAGCTGGGCAAGAAATGTGATTTTTCAGCCCCAATAACTGTAACGCTTTTTCTCATTAACTTCCTCTTACAAATGAAAAACTGAAACAGAAAATGACTCCAAATAACAGAAATGAAGACTTGTTTTTAAAAAAAATCATTAAAAAGTGCTGGAAAAGTGTTCTACTATTTTAAAATGTAAAATATGACTAACAAAGAAACTATTTTTAACAAAGCCTGAAAATTCTAAATGTGTCCATGTATTCATGTCACTATTTACATATTTGTACTTTTACTATTCTGAAGTCAAAATTCCAATCCTTTGCTCTGGAACACTTGCTCATCTTTTAGACACATGTTAATAAGCAAACAGACTGCTCAATTACCCCAATCAAATCATATAACCCAGTGAAACAAAAATATAAGACCGTTTAATTATTGTGTCCATACAATCCCCATACTGCCCCTAAAGGCCTTCTAGGATGGAGCAAAGGTGGGTTTTGCAGCTTGCCTCAAAGGCTAACATATTCCTGAAGTTAAAGACAAAGAAAAGGAAAAAAGTTTCTAAGGTCACAGGCTCTAATGCCCTGCCAGTACAGGCAGTCCTCAACTTACAATGTTTCGAGTTACATTTCGCACTTACAACGTTTATAAATTGACTCCCTGTTTCAACTTTCTGATGTCAGTTTTGACTTTACAACACTTGATCTGACGCCAAACCATGCCAGTGAACAAGTTCGCTGCATCACCCATCTCCCTGGAGAACATCTGTCCAAACTTTCTTGGACACTTTCTTTAAGAGAGCAGACAAGACTCCAGTAAAATCTGCAGCCAAGACTCCCAAGAAGACTCCAGCCAAGAACCCTTCAAAAAGTCCAACCAAGAGCCCTTCAAAACGTCCAGCAAAGTCTCCTCAAAGAAGTCCTTCCAAATCAATATGATTGCTATTTACAGTATAAATACATTATATTAGCTATATTACTAATCTATAATTGATTGGGTACAAAATTCTGGGTTATTTTTGGTGAAAACAGGGTATTTGGCCTTGGTTCAGGAACCAATCCCCCATTTATAACATTGTTTCCTATGGGAAAATCAGTTCCGAGTTACAACGTTTCAACTTAAGACGTGGTTTTCAGGAACCAATTGTGTCGTAAGTCTGAGGACTGCCTGTACTTTGTCACTCTTATACAAATGAACTTTAGCCCCGTTGATTTATTCCTGCTGATTCATTAGTCCCACTTCCCTTGTCTCCATTCATCATTTACTTTATGAATAGTTGCTATTGTCAAGTCCTTGAGGCAGGGGATTCATCTTCTAGCTCCTGTTAGAATTGCCATATGTACATATAGCATTCTCCTACCACAGACTATGTTTCTCAGTCTACATCCATCCCTGGACTATAAATCCACCTCTAACTTTAGCTCCATGTTTCACAACACATCCAGGATGCAGGCCAACAATCCAGAGCCGTGCTTTTTACTTGCTCTATATATCCCCTAGCCATACACAAGGAAATTTGAGGATCTGTTCAGTTTTACTATGTCATGCACAGTTCTGTGTGAAAATGGCTAAAAGAGAGGATTTACATACTCTACCACACACAGAAATATTAACAAAAACTGATTTGTTTGCCAGAGAACTTGACAACAAAAAAATCCCAATAAGTAACAACATCAAGGGACTTCTGAATTCCAGCTGTGTTTGTCAGTGCCTGCTACCTGTTATAGGTACTTAAGTTCCATAAAATAGGGGCCAGGTTCAATTCGCCATACAATTTGCCCTTTTTGTGTGCCAGTCACTCCCCGGTTCTTGGAATCCCAGAAATTAGCTGGAGAGTTCTCATCTACAAGAGCAAAAAGAAAAAATGTTCTCTATAATGGTAACAGTAACAACAGCTATTAAAATAAATGTGTATTCTTCCTGTCATGTGATGATAGGGGTCACTGGACTTGACATGTAATGACTAATCAACAGTTAGTAAAGAAGTATTTCTTCATAACATGTTTTTAAGGTTGATTGTGGCCCTTAAACTGATAGTAAGGAAGCAAGATTAAGTTCTGAACATATCACAGTTTATGTTACAAATAACATTATTCATTTTATCACAGTTGTTGATAGTTTTTACCCCCCTCTCCCCACACACACTGCTTCCTTCCACCCACCAAATGAAAAAGGAGTTTGAAAGATTTTGCTTGTAACTGTCAGTAGATGCGTTGCTCTTAAAAACAGCTTTATTAACACTTGAAAATGTATAATAAATCTTTTGAAAAAAGGGAAAAGCCACATAACACAAAGATCACAAGACAACTTTGTTCTGCCTTACAAAAAGTAGAATATTTGTTTGCAGTGGTTACTCATTCAGTCCAAGATGATGGAATTCCTGGAAGAATCAAATTAACTGGGACAAAATCAATGAGTCTTACTGTACTGCTGATCATGAGATCAATTTATGCAAAGGGAACAGACACATGCAGAGATACAGTAAATATACAGCTTCTTATTAAAGGTGACCTGAAAAGGTAAAGTATCAAATTCCAAAAACTTTTCTAATTTAATTCTAAATATCTAGGCTACACACAACATTGCAAGGTCAAAGACCAATATATTTTTCACCATGAAGGTGCCACTGTCCACCACTGTCATAGCTGTCCAGCACTTCCAACTATGTGGTACTGAAACCCAAGAGATGGAGCTGCAATTTAGGCACATAAGGGTTTTAAGTATATTTATTATTTTTCAAAAATAGAGAAGATATTTTATCATCTTCAGAGAAGAAGCCAGGAAATTTAAATGTTCTGAAGCCCTAGTCTGTCAGGTGCCAGTACCTGCTCTGAGGTGTCTTAACACTCAATCCCCAGGTTTTTGGGGTATTCAAAACCTCATAGGATGTGCACAGCAGTGTTCTGGATCAGGCACTTGCTAGACACAGAAATGGATGGGTAGTTCAAAGACACGGTTTTTTAGTCACAGATTTGACAAGCATACCACAATTGTTCTCTATGAAGTAGCAAAGGATGATTGGGAGAAGAAAGTGCTAATATTAGTAAGCTAATTAACATTTTGTTCTTAGCTTCAATGCAAACAGATTTTTATTTTTTACCAGTTAATAACTCTATTTTCAACTTCTCATGCAATTCATTCTTGAATGAAAACAATGCAGAGCAAGAAATGGTAAAAGGATAAACAGGAATCATAACCATCAATAAACAAGCTGGTGTGAATCATGGTGAAATTATTCCATACAGGCAGTTATCACAAAGTTTTCTCCATTATTTTACTCTTTTAGCTGAGGCACTGACTTCTTAAGCTAAGCACGTAAGTGGGCTCACAAGGCCTTTTTCCCTGCAATTGCATGCAATATCTATGTTACCCTTCTAAAATCTGTGCATTTCACAAGGGTTGATTGCATCCTACCCTCCTAATATGCATTCAGTGAAACTTCAGCCCACTACAGGTAACCCCCGCTTAGTGCTCTTAATTGGTTCCTGAAAAACCGAGTGTTAAGCAAAATGAACATTAAGTGAAACTGAAAGTATTTGATGATCCAAGATGGCAACCTCAAGTGTTTTTAATGACCCAAGATGGTGACCGCAAACGTTAAATGAAACTCGCTGAGTGTCAAGTGAAATCAGGTATCAATTTACAATCAGCATTATAGCGAAATAGCGCAAAGCAAAACAGCATACTGTTTGCTTGTACTGGTTGCTTGTACTGAGGGTTGACCATGCAGCATATATTCATTTAATTATATTCCTACATATAGTTCTTCTGACTTTGATCTAAGCACCTAAGTAAATAAAGGATTCAATATTATGAATATTCCTAGTGATTGGTACACTGCTTAAGAAAGAAGAAACAGTGATTGAGCTTTCTTAATTAAATGCCAGAAATCTAACAAGTTCCTCTCCCTCTATTTTAATCTATTTTGCTCGGTGTAGGTACCATATCCCACCACATAACAACTAGCACAAGAAGTGGTAAAATTCACTTAAGTGCATATAGGTACCATACAAAATAAAAAAATACACATTGGTGATTTTTATCATGTAATTTAGAGTAACTAAATTGTATTTATTGATGTAATTAAAGTAAAAAGACAGGGTGGCAAGAGAACCAGACTCTTTTCCAAGGTGTTTCACAGGTTTCATGGGAGACCTTAGCCTGGCCATATCATCTCTCTATGTGTCAATTTTCTCATCTTCCTTATTTTGGAGTCACTCTTATGGAGCTAAAAAATATTTAGGTTAACTATGAACTTTTTGATCTTCAAACAGAAGGCACTATGGATGTGCCAGCATTATCAGCCCCAAAAATGGAAGAATGAATTTGTCCGTGGATTATCTGATAGTTCCTCACCGATTGTTCTGGAATAGGCTGTGGTGCCTGTCCATTAAACTGGAGGACCTCCAGAAATTCCCAAAAGGCCAAAGTAGTCAGTGTGCTCCACATAATGTCTGAAACTCTACTTTGTCCTGTTAGTGTGCTTCTACTTGTACCTAATTATCAAGGATTTCTCCACTTACAGATGTTCTGAGGAGAGGACCTCCATAGAAACATAACTTAGAAAAAGTATGACTTGTTATCTCCATAGGGCTGCTGGGAAGCCAAAGTGTAATCGCTTGCCCGCCACTCTTTCCCAAACCAACTCATACTCTATTTTCTTTCCCTCTACAGAAGGTAAGAAATAGATAATACCACAGAGGGAGCTCACTCCCATTTCCACACTCAAGTGAAATAAATGTGTATGGATAGGATCTTCACCATCCCAGGTCTAGAGCTGTGGACAATCTGGAGCATTACCATCAACTCCTAGTCCCAACCACTATAACATCCCCAGTCTAAAGCAGTTTCTTTGATCTTTAAGTAGCTTCATAATCTCCAGTGTTCCTAGTTAAGGCTGCTTTCCTACATAGATTTACATGTGGCTACCTCTTCACCAATGAGACACGCCTAATGCATCCAATCAAGCATATGCACAATTAATACTTAAACCATTCTAATATTATAAAAGCCTTTGTCTGTCTGTCTGTCCATAATGTTTTATTTGCACTCTGATTGGTGTATGAAACAATCAGATTGCTCGAAGAGCATTCCAGACAGGAGGTGGCAGCACACCTCCATGATAGCGGTGATGGAGCGGATGGAACTGCGGGGTGAGGCCTACAGCACTGGCCTCACCCCACTCCACCCCTCTTCCAGCCCTGCTTCCTGGAGGCAGTGGTGGCACGGGATGCTGGCCAAGGAGTATGGAGGGGCAAACTTTCCCCCCTGCCCCACTCCTGGAAGGTGGCAGCGCTGGCCTTGCCCCCTGCTCCAGCCTTGCTGCTAGGCCCCAACAAACGCTGGCAGGGAGGGGGAGATCACAGGGAGGAGGCGGGGAGAAAGGCAGGAAGACGAGGGGGGTGCACAGTGGCAGCCCCCCACCACTGCTGCCACTGGGCCCTGAGAACAGCCGGGGGAGAGGGAGCGAGGGAGGGGGAGGGGGTTGTGCATGGCCAGATTCACCGTGGTGGTAGCGTTGGGTGGCAGCTGTGGCCTCCACATGCAAGCTTCCCCCCATCCCCTGCACCTCGGAGGTGGTGGCGCTGTGGGGTGGAGCGACCATGGGGGGTGCACAGAACTGGATGGGGGAATGCATGGGGCAGGAGGCAGAGTGGTGGCAGTGCAGGCCGGTGAGTGATGGCATTCTTGATGGGCAGTTGGCTAGTAAATACATATTCCCCTTCATTCTGATGCAATGTTTTTCAGGGTCAATGAAAATCAGTTCAAAGCTGTAGTATCACCACTTACAAATGTACTGTTACCTATGTATTCTTTTCTTCAAAGATTACAAGACTACAAGATTCTTTCTCAAAGTAAATCCTGCAAATCTTTGTTATCCAAAGTTAGCTATTAACTGTACTGAAAAGTCCCCTATGTATTGAAACTCTAATAATTTCAAATTATTCAGTGTTCCCATTATGTCAAGGTAACTACAGTTGTTTTATATGACAAAAGCCAGCTGCTCTAACATGCTCTTGCTTTTCTGAATTAAATTATGTAATTGTTTTAGAGAGAGTTGTATTTATCATCACATGCCAGGGAAAAGACATTAAGTATATAGCACACATTAGCATGAAAATACTTGAAGTACCTTGTTCAAGTAGCGGACAGAATGCAATAAATATTTTAAGCAATGAAGTATAACCTTAGCAGCAGTGTCTCTAACAACACTTGGGGTGGGGGGTGTTGTTTTGTTTTTAAAGGTTAATCCAAAACACCAATTAATGCAACTGGAGTCTTTCCATGGACTTCAACAGGCTCTTGAACAGACCCTAAAAGAACAAATTTCACAAAAGTACCCCTGAAATCTTGAGCCTATCAATCATTGCTGAAGATAGAGCAAAGACTAGTTGAGGAATCCATATATTTTTCTGAGACCTTAACTGTTTTTTCCAGGATGTAAAATAAAACTCTGGATAAAAGTTAGCACCCTGTTTCTCTCTAATTTCCAACTAAACCTGCTAAAGCAAGAGCACTCATCCTAAGTGGTTCAGCTACCAGTAAGAGAGACAGTAGGTGAGAGAAATGGAATCAAAATGATACACAAATGAAAGGCAGCCCAGAACTTCCGATACGCCATGGACCTATATTTTGTTCTGGTCTAAGGGTATCATTTTTCTTTCTGTTGTTAGAATTATTCCACAATCAGATCATGTTAAACAGATCATCCCACAATACTCTTTAAGAACCTCCAGATAGCTGTTTCCCATCTCTGCAATGTTTTCTTTTCCCTGATGTTCTTTTGAATATGCATTATAGACTGATTATATCACATCTGTCTGAATCCGTTCTGGTACTACC